AGGAGGGAGAGACGGGGTGATGCACTCTTTCATTTCTGTGTTTAAAAATCTGTTGAGGCAAGGCAGGGGCCGGGCAGCCGCGGCGTGGGGAGTGCTCTGCTGCAAATGTTTATCTGTCATTCCTGAAGAGCATGCTGAGCAGGCAGAGAGGAGCTCAGCCAAGGCAAAACTCTCTGCACAAGAGGCAAAAGTGACATCGGCTCTGGCATTTCTCCCCAGCCCTCACAGTGTGTTTTGTATGTACACTGGCACTTTACGAGCACTCAAAATAAGCTGTCTCCAGTCCCAAGATTAGGCTTTATTGCAGGTGGGGCTCATAGCAACGTCTCTGGCTGTGTTTGCCTAACAATGTCCATCATGTTGTTGTTTGATTATGGTCTTGCTGAAGTGTGGCCATTAGCTTTTACATTTTTCACGCTGTGTGTCAGCTCCCTTTTCTCTTTTTGGGAAGCTTTCCAGGGAAGGGTTTAGCTGTTGGAAAGGGCAGGGCTGGGGCACTGCCCCTCGTACATCTGACCACGTCGCCTTTCAGCAACCTCCCTGGCACAGGTGTGCAGCCCTGACTGTGTCCGAGTGAAGTTCTGTGCCAACATTCCTATTTTCATAGGTTGCTTATAAAATCCCTTGGACATGGTGCTCCTCACCTGGCTAAGAGCCGTGCCCGTTCCCAGTGCCACCTCCCTCAGCGTTGCAGCCCGGCTGGGGCTGTGCTGTCGGTTGTTTTGGGGGAATGGAGGCACCTTTCTGCGTGCAGTAAGCAGAGGCTGCTTTTATCCTGCCTTTGCTGCAAAGTGCGATTTTCCTAGAGGCAATGCAGGATTGGGCCCTGCTTTGTACTCCATCCTTGTCTCCGTTTTCAGGCTGGCTGCTCACCAAGCGAACCTATGTGACAATGTGTCCCTTTAGGCTGGCACAGCTCTGCAGCACTTGGGTTGCTCCCAAATCAACCCATCCACGGAGAGTGGCTCTCGGTTCTCCTTTTTCCTAGGATTAATGCAGGAACGTCTGTCAGCAGCTGGAATAAGCTGCAGAAAACTAAACCTGTGCTTAGTTCCTGCAAAAGATAAAGATTTAGCCGCAGGCTGAGAAGGAAGATCTCCAGTGGCTGAGGAAGGGACAGAGTGGACGTGTCTGGGGGATGGATGGAGGGGTTGTACGTCAGCGCTGTTCCTGGAAGGCACCAGCCTGGCCTGGCTTCACTCAACCTGACCCTGACAAATGCAGCCTGATGTAATTTTTTTTTTTTTTTAAGCGCAATGTCTGGATCTCGCTATTAGGGAGCTGACAGACAGACACACGGGTCTCTGCTGAGCCATTGAGCCCAGCGGAGAGCATGTATCACGTCAGCTAGTGAGAGGGTCCCAGCACGATGTCTCTGCTGAGCTCTGCACTGCTGGTCCATGGCTGGTTCGGTGATGCTGGGCTCAGGGCTCCAGGGTCTGGTAACCTCTGGCAAAAACCCGTCTGCCCCGGCGTAGCCCAGGGCAGGGTGTGGAGATGCTTTGCATCTTTCCCCATCCCGCCCCACCGGCTGTTGTGCAGGGGCTTTTGGAAACATCACCATTATTTTTTATGGGAAGTTGGTCTTCTCATTGCAGATGAGACCCGTGTTGTGGTCATGGGTAATGGGCTGCCGGGGTAAAACACACTTGAAAGGCAGCTTGTTTTGGAGGTGATGAAAAAAGAGCTCTCTGAGTGCCAGCTATCAATAGTTGCTGGAAGAAAAGAGCATTTTGGGGGCAGGAAGACCTGTGCAGCCATGCAGAAACGAGCCCCAGGGCCCCACCTGAACCCTGAAGGAGATGCTGAGACACCTCCTAGCACCCTCAAAAGATTTGCCCTTCCCTCTCCTCCATGGGCAGAGAGAGCCCCAAGCACCCGTTGCTGTAGAGTAAACAAAAGTGGCTTTTTAAGTCACTGCAACTAATTAGTCTGCAGTCCACCTCCTCACCCTTCGTATCCTCAGGACCCCAAAGTGCAGCAAATCCCACTCACTGACTGTGCTCTTTTCTGCACTTGTTTTTTTATCCCTGCCTCCTTGTGAAATCAAAGTATTCAAAGGACCTTGTGGGTGTATAAATCTATCTAGATATCTATATATACATATTTCTCATCGTGTTGCATCCAGCATGGTCAAGTCACATAAAAAGCCTATTGCATGTTTTGTTGGTATAGAGAAGTAGAGATTTTGTTTGTCAAACCTAAAAGTTATTTAATCCAGAGTAGTCCATGGAGAAGTGAATGGGGATGAAATTGCTCTGAGCCTCTCGGTAGCCTTTTTGTTCCAACTTTCAGGATTGGAGTATGAGGTTGGAAAAACATGGGCCCAGTTTCTGTCTTCATTGCTTATCTGTTGGCACAGCATTTTAGTATGAGCAAATAAAAGATGGGTGAGAGTGTTTTAGGAGTTAGGATGGGAATATCTCAGTTATTGAAGCTACTGAAAAATTACTCTCAGTATAACTTTCTATATGAAGAAGCAGGTTAATTGAACTAGAGCCATGTAGTAGAAATGTGCTGATTCCTACAACATTCTCCAGCAGCAAAAAAGAAATTGAAATATTTTATTTGGACAGTATCAAAACTCCAGCCGAAGCAGAATGTTTCTGTTCTGTCACTTAAATTAATTTCATGTAATGTAGGCTGTAAATTTTAATATTATATTGTCTTTATAGATTGTATAATTCCATGTGCTTGTAGTGCATAATTTAAGAAACGCATAGGAATAAAAAGAATAATGAAAGGAGTCACTGAAGTGAAACACTGTAATGGTCCTAAATTGATTGCTGGGAGGAAATGTTGCTTCTTGGCCAACACAAGAATTCTGGCTTTTTATGCAGAATCAGAATCAATCTCTCTCTTAAAGTCAGGATTTCCCAAGTAATGGAAATTGCAGCTCCCAGCCAGCTCTGCTCAGGATGTAATCTGTGTGTTAATTATTCATCGGAGCCAGATATAATAGGAGATAACTTAGAGGAAACCTGGGATAACACCACTGCTTTAAAGTCATGTCACATCCCCGGGCTGGCCGGGGACACGGGGCGAAGGAGGGGGGAAGGACACAGGCCCCTCCGGCCATGGTCTGCTGGCGGGGGGGCGGTGGGGGCCAGACCCTGCGGGGCTGGCGGAGGCCACAGCTCCGTGGGTGTCCACAGAGACCCAATTTGAATGCTGCAAAACCCTGACGTGAGCTGAAGAGCCCCACAGCTCACCGTGGCTCTTGGCTCTGCCTTGCAAAGGTTCAGCCTGCGGCTGCTAAAGCAATAACGGCGCTGCTGCTGCCAGGAGCCAGAATCAGCTTTCACTGGGTTCGTTTAGCAAAATACTAAAATCCTTACAGAGCGTGCGTGCGTACGAGTGAGGGAGCAGCAGCCTGTGCTGGTTTGCACGGGGAACCCCCCGGGAGGGTGTGCGTGGGGGTTGCTCACCTCGGCTGGACGGCGCCCGGTGTTGGGGAGCACGCAGGAGGCACCCCCAGCCTCAGCGCGCTCGTCCTGCACTGGGTCTCCCCGGCACCCGCTGAGAAAGAGGCAGCGGGAAGAATTTCTTTTCAACGCTTCCAGAAAAATTGCTGCTGGGAGAGGGAAAACATGGAGGAGGGTAGGGGTAGAGCCCAGGGCCCCTCAGCACTGCGGGGGCTTCTGCGGTGGAAACACGGCAGTTTGATACAGCCCCCATGCAAACAGAGCCGTTTCCTTGGTTCAGAACTTGCTGCCTCTAAGTTCCTGCCATCCAGCCATTTTGCAGGAAGCTAATTTGATTTTATGGTGAGCACTGGGATGTTTGGGTTTGTTCCTTTCAAGCCCACAGATCTTAGAGCCCTGTGGCTAGATCAGCATCTCAGGTGCTGTATAAAACCAGCGACCTTTCCACGTCCTCGGGATAATAGACTTGAAAGACAAGGTGAATACATACTATTTTATACAGTTTTCCAGAAATCTTACTGTACTGTTACCTCTGAAGAAACACATTTATTTTGGTATTTGAGACATCTTTGACACCTATCATGCAGCCCTGTGGCAACATGTAGCCCTGGGGAAGACCTGCATTAGGGAGGAAACGTGCGTTTCATCCTCAATTTAAGTTTTCAGTGTTGTTATGTAGAAGGAACAGAGTTGCCTTATTGCCCCAGGACGGGGCAGGAGATCCCAGAGGCTGCGGTGGGACAGCATGGTCCAGCCTGGAAGCAAAAGCGATCAGTGGGATTCTTTCCTCCAGCCTCCTGCCTGATCTCTGCAGGGGCAGGAGACCTGTGCTGGGGCAGCAAACAGCCGTAAACCCCAGAGATGTCCCCAGGGTCTGGTCCCACCTCTGCCTGGGAGCTGCTTCTATCCGATTCACCCACTCGCAAGTGATTCCTGGTCTCGGACTGATAACTTCATGAGAACTTTTCTGATAATTCCACAAGACACTTGTATTCACCGTGAAAAAATAACGTCTTTTGCATCAGCCGTAACTTCCCCAAGATGTTGCAAAGAAGAAAACAACTTCAGGTTTCTAATAAAGTGCTCCAACATCAGCTAAGCAGGTTTTATTTTCATTTTTCTTCTCCACAAAAGTTTCCATTGTGTCCAAAAGCCATTTTCTGACAAAAAAGGTTTTGATGGAAAATATTTTACTAAGTCTGTTCGAAGCTGATAGAAAGCATTGCCAAGAAAGAAGGAATGAATACTTCTGCCGTGGCAGCTACACAGCACAATAAAGGAAATATCACCCGATTTCCCAGAGCCTTGGGAGGGTGGTTGGGTGGTCCTGGTGCTGGGGCAGTGGGGCCACGCACATCACAGCCCCCAGTAAAATTGAGGTTAACAAATAAATCTGTTTCACTCAACAGCCAGAATACAGCCTTCACACTGGGGTGAAGCTTTCTAAATATCGTTCGGCATGTTTTCTTTAAAGGAAGGAAGGATCTTAATTCCAGCATTCCAGCCCAAAATAGACATCTCTAAGAATAGCCCTTCCTCACCGTGGGGCAGGATGCTGTCAGGAGGAAAAAGGGTCGGGGGAAACGAGAAGTGCTTTCCCTAAATAGCCGGGCTGTAACTGCAAAGTGATGGGTTTCAACTCTGACCACGGGTGATCACCCCTGGAGCATCCGACCCCACTGAGGTGGCTCCTCGGACCGGGGACCAGCGCGGCTCGCCGGCTCCTTGGGCCGGTGGGGCCGCCCCTCAGGGAGCTGCCACCCGCCCACCAGTGGACACGCATCGGCGTCCTGCACCCCGCTGCCCTCGGAGCCCACGGCCCTGCGTCCCGGAGCAAGGAGGGCATGCCCCAGCCGTGCTCGGTGTGTCCTGGCAGAGAGCAGCGAAGGCGTCCCATGGGAAAAATGAGGTTGGGCGGCACGACCTACTGAAGTCTCTTCCACCGTGAGTTATCCTATGATCAGGTGCTACCAAGCTGGAAGGCTTTTGTGCGCGGCTGTGCATGTCTGGGGTAGGGAGGACTCTTGTTCCTGTCTCTTTTGGTTTAAAAAGGGCGATGTTGGTGTACCCCAGATCCCATGAAGGTCAACAAGAGATTGGATGGATGGAGTTTGTAGTCCCACCCCCTTTTCCCTAGAAGATATAACTTTACATCATTTGAACTGTTTTGACTTTAATATTCCCCTTTTGGGATCACATTTTCTGTGCAAATATGAGGTTTAGAGAGGAATCTTGGAGCAAGAGATGAGTTTCTCATATAGTCCTATGACACCAAGAATTGTGGCTTTAAGAAAAATACTAATTTTCATGGATGTCTCAATGAAACAATAAAAACTGACAGCACAAGAAGGTCCTTCCACCCTCATTTCCTTTCTTTCAATGCTGGCAGCGGAATTTGAATCTCTCAAGTTAAACACCCTTAGATGCTGAGAGTTTAACATCTCCTGGAGGTGCAAGCTGCATCTTCCCAGTTCAAATATATCATACCTGTTCCTGGTACACCCCTCCAGGAGCTGTGTTTGAAGCCTTTCTATGTGCGACACTGGTGTCGCATTTGAATTGAGATTTTCCCCAGAAGTCAATAACCAGGCTCAGGTGATACTCAACATTAGACAGCCTACTTTTTTCAGAAGCACATGTCAGACCTTAAATATCATGGTATTGGCTTTACAGAATTGCATCTTCAGTTTAAAAACAACATTTTGGGGTTTGCCATGCCCTGGTTCATGTCTGGGGCAAGTGTCTCCTTGTGAGCTGGTCGTGTAGACTGCCTTGGCACTCGGGGGACAGAAGAAGGTGATTTAGGGGAAGAGGAGAATCACTCCCTGCTGTGATGGTATTAAAGGTACAAGAAAGTGAATGAACTGCCTCTACTTTTATAGCCCAGCTTTAAAACTGAGATGATTTATGTATTCAGGTGGGTTTAAAAGTTGTTGGCCTATAACCAGGCAAAACCCGCTAGGTTTGGCCAATTACTCACTTTGTATTTTGGGCCCTTCTCAAATAAAACTCAAGGTGGGTGTAACAAAACCACAAAAACCCAAATCTGAAAGATAGCTTGCACGAAACCCTGAAAAGCCCTCAGGAGCTGAATCTCACGGTCTGGAAAGAGGGAAGAATAATAAGGTGGAAAAAATGTGAGCTCCACCAGGCTGCAAACCTGAAACCCTTTGGTGCTTGTTTGAGAAAAATCAAGCCAAGGAGCTGAGATCCTGCCAAAATTTCTGCCGCGGGAAGGGCTGGTCCAGCCTGAGCTGCCTCCTTCCTGCTGCTCACACACAGTGAGGAATAAACTCTCTGCAGAGATAAGAGGATGAAACCCTTCCGCCGAGATGCGGCTTCAAACATGCCTCCACGAGTCCACGCCGTGTGCCCGCCAGCAGAGGAGATCCACCTTCGACAGTGGGTCCTGGGGCTGCAGCTCTCTGCTCCACGTGGATGCAAAGCTCTCATTTTAGTGAAATAAATAGCCCTTTGGGGCATCTTCACTCAGGGTGCGGGTGGTGAGGCTGACGCCAGCTGGAGTTTCCTGTGCCAAATGAATAAGTGCTATCCTGGAAACTATGCTAAGACAGGCACATGGAAAATCAGGAGGTGATTGGTGACAGCCAACAAGGTTTCACTAAGGGCAAATCGTGCCTGACAGATTTGGTGGCCTTCTACAACAGGATTACAGCACTGATGGGTAAGGGAAGAGCAACTGATGTCATTTCCCTGGACTTGTGCAAAGCACTGTCCTGCATGACATCCTTGTCTCTAAATTGGAGAGACATGGATTTGATGGATGGACGACTTGGTAGATAAGGAATTGGCTGGATGGTCACACTCAAAGAGTTGCAGACGGCAGCTCCATGTCCCAGTGGAGAGCAGTGACGAGTGGTGCTCCTCAGGGGTCGGCCTCGGGGCGGGCACTGTTTAACATCTTTGTTGGCAACATGGACAACTGGATCGATGCACCCTCAGCAAGTTCACCAAGGACACCGAGCCGTGTGCTGCGGGGACAGGCGGGAGGGCAGGGATGGCATCCAGAGGGACCTGGGCAGGCTGGAGAGGGGGGCCCGGGCAAACCTCATGGAGTTCAACAAGGCCAAGGGCAAGGTCCTGCATGTGGGTCGGGGCAATCCCCAGCACAGACACAGGCTGGGCGAGGAGTGGCTGGAGAGCAGCCCCGAGGAGAGGGACTTGGGGGTGTTGGTTGATGAGAAGCTGAACATGACCTGGCAACATGTGCTCACAGCCCAGAAAGCCAACCATATCCTGGGCTGCAGCCAGAGCAGGTCCAGTTCAGGGGCCCCCAACAGCAGAAGGACACGGAGCTGCTCGAGCGGGGCCAGAGGAGGCCACGAAGATGCTGGGGGGGCTGGAGCAGCTCCCCTGGGAGGCCGGGCTGAGAGAGTTGGGGGGGTTCAGCCTGGAGAAGAGAAGGCTCCGGGGAGCCCTTCGAGCGGCCTCCCAGGGCTTAAAGGGGGGGCAGGAGAGGTGGGGAGGGACTCTGGGTCAGGGGGTGGGGATGGGACGAGGGGGGACGGTTTTGCACCGAAAAAGGGCAGATTTAGATGAGATGTAAGGCAGAAATCCTTCCCTGTGCGGGGGGTGAGGCGCTGGCCCAGGGTGCCCAGAGAAGCTGTGGCTGCCCCCTCCCTGGAAGGGCTCAAGGCCAGGTTGGACGGGGCTCATGGCAGTGGGGCTGGAACTAGATGATCTTTAAGGACCCTTCCAACCCAAACCATTCGATGATTCTATCATTATAACAGCTAAAGGGTTTTTATCCACGTGATGTTTTTGCCCTTGTTTTCAGACCCAGCTACTGGAGTGTGTTTGGGAAAACAATGACGTGAAAGTGCCAGGTTAGCTCGTTTGATTTTTGTCCCCTTCTTTCCTGTTTTTTGTACAATCATCTCCAGGAGATCTGTCAGTTTTGCCTCCATACTTCTTTGGAAAAAAAGCCCATGGCCAGCAAATGCAAGCAGAGCTGTAGGGCAGAGGAGTGGCCATGACACGTACGCCCAGCTCTCGCTGTCACCAAGCCACCCACCATTTATCTTTCCCCTGCTCTGAGCCCAGGTTTTGTTCACCAATGCCTCTGTTGTACTCAGGAATCGCTCTGCTCTCCTGAGCTCCTGAACACGCCCCTCCTTTCCCCCCAAAGGTGGAATTGCACAGTGCTCATGGTCTCCAGCCTCACACAAGCTCATCTGCAGGCAGAGCTGTAGCCTGCAAAGCAATAGATAAATTGTTTATTTCCCCTTCCCCATATTTGTGCCTCCCTTCCTTACATTTTGTCCCTGAAAGCAGGCGCAAAGGGCTTCTCCGAACAGAGCACATGACCCTGCACTCCTGCGCTGGGTTTTTATAGCTACTTGGCTTAGAATAAATACTTTTTTTGCTCTAGGCTGGAAGTCTCTTTTTAAGGAGTTGCTGCCCATAGCTCCAGCCACAGCAGATATCACTGCTAAGCTGTCATTGCTGAAAAACCTCCCACAGGTCTCGCTGCCCTCAGATGAGCAGTGGCCCCATTGAAAGCCTTTTGTTTTGTTACAGGTTTCTCAAGTGTTACTGATCTCTATAGGTGCTCTGACTCCTATAGGTGTTAATGATTGCAGATAGACAGGGCAAGCACATTGCAAAATCATTTCTCAGCAAAGAGTGGGAAAATGCAGATTTCCTGGCGTAATTTTATGGCTTTCATGATTTATTGCAAATCTCTTCTGGTTATTATTTGTGTCGTTATGTTTATCTGGTTTTATCTATTTTAATTGTTCTCAGGTGAAATCATGGTGTTTTGTTTCGCTTCTTATGACTGATGAGAGAAGGCAAATCATGTTCTGTCTTGGGCTCACCAGCACCAGGGTCCCTCCTGCACCCCCTCAGGTTCATTTGTGTGATGAGTTTCTGAGTGTAGAACATCTCTGTCCAACTGTTTCTTTTTGTGGTCCATTAGTGACACTGAGAAAGCCCAGCCAGGCGCTCAGCTCACAGGGAAAGCTGCTGTGGAGTGAGTGCAAAACAGCAAGCAAGAGGATGAAGGATACTCTTGTTAACATCAGTTATTGGTGTCTTGCTACTTGGAGAGACTTATATCTCTGTTAGTGCTGCGCAGTATCAGGCAGAGAGCATTCATGTGCAGTTTTTAAATACAGGTTATGAAAAACAACGGCTGAAGTACAGAATGGATGATGTCTACCATACAGCCAGTTTGTGTTGGGGAGGGTACAAGTCCCATCTTGCAAATCTCGGTTTAGTTGAGCAGCGAGGGCTGAAGGACCTGTGCAGTGGGTACAGTGCTGAGGCTCCAGCACCAGAATTGGAGCCTGTCTCTACGAGGATACCCTCATAATTTCCCTGTGGTGTGCAGATACCTGGCACAGCTTCTGCCATCTGCTCTGGGGGGAGGTACCTGGAGGAAGGGCCTTTGGGGTCATTGTAGATCTTTTCATGCACCAGCCAGTTGTCTGAAGGAATTTACGCCAGGGCAAACCCCTGGGGCTGTGTTTTGCAGAGCTTCCTGCAGCAGAACAAATCCTACTGCGCACCCACAGACCAACAGAGAGGTGGCTTTGGGGAATTTGTGGCAATAAGGAGCCCTGTCCTCAGGTTGGTGGTACCCGCGTGTAAAGCGCGTGGGCTGCCTCTCTGGGGAGGCTGCTCATTCCCTGACGGCTCTTCCCCCCTCTCCGTGTCCCAGGACTGACACAAAGCTTTTGTGCCTTGTATTGTAATTGTGTAAGGCGAGATTCAGGGAGAGGCCATGGGATTTAGAGGAAAACTGAGAGGCTGGCATGTCACTTTTGGAGATGCAGGTGAAAATCCCAGCTGTCGACTCAAACCCCAAACCAAAAAGGCTTGTAGGTGCCTTTTGGAGAAAACCACTATTGAGGGTTCAGTGTGCAGAAACCCCAGTGACTTTCATTCTCTTACCTATTAGTCTGAGCACCATTCATCTT